CAATGTTTACATACGTGTGTTCAAATGTGAACAATTTTTTTAAAAAAATGACAAGCTGGAACTATGTGAACAAACTACCTGGAATGAAGACACATGTGATAATGAGGATATAACACAAAAGTGATAAAATAAAAAGCAGGAAATAGAGAAGCGATCTGCATAAACCGAAGAAGCACTTGAAGTATGATTTGGAAGCTCACAGGAAGCATGAAAATATGCTATATAAATATGATTTTTCTTAGTTGGAAATATAGAACATTGAAAATGAAAATAAATAAAGATTCGGCAAACATTGGGATGCATGTTTGGTCTCAACAACATACAAATTTCATTGAATTTTGTTTACCTATGGAAGCAAACTCTAACCCTAAGAAGCATGTGTGTTACAATTTAAAATCTCCATGAGTAAGAAGCATGGAAAGAGCGTGTTGCAAGATGCTTGCCAATAAGTAGAACATCCGCTAAATACAAGAGCTCAAATGGAAGCATATAACAACGAACATTGAAGCAGACATATACTATTGGTAACAAGGGGATGGATGTTTTGTGTCACCAACATACAAATGCTTAGATTGTTTTTACAACCTACGGAAGCAGATTGTATAGTGGAAGCATGGACATAGGCTTCTTGTCCATAATACATGTGAAATTAGGAAGGAAGAATTGGTTATTGATTAAGTAAAAACAAGATGACTGCATACACGTAGGAAGCATGGAGACGAGGCAAAGCTTGACACTGTAAAAAAGGCAATCTATACGGACTGAAAATGCAAAGCCACAACACGTATGAAGCATGTCGGCTGGACCAGCGATGCATGGTCGTTGTGCCGTTGTGAAGAACGGACGCCCAGGCAGACACCGGCAAAATCAACCTTCTCTGCAGCGTTGGTGAGGCTCCCGGTCACCTTGGTGCGCCGTTATTGGAGGCCTACACAGATGGTTAGGTTAGCATAGACGCTGCAGCGAGATAGCTAGGGATGGAGGAGCGAAATCATGACCAGATGGAAGAGGTGCTCACCGTTAGGGCCACCATGGTCGCCTTTAGGAGAGGACGTCGAGGCTGCGCTCCAGCACGATGGGCTGCGCTACAGCGGCAGGAGGGATCACCGAGCAAGGCGAAAACAGCGGTGGAGCAACCAAGCGATTAATTATGATTTCGTTTTTTTTAACTTAATTATGATTTCGTTTTGATTTCCCTAACCATGGGTGCATGATTAACGGGTTGGTGGGAAGCTGTCCTAGATTAATGGGTGCATGGCTTGGAGAGAGGGAGGTTCTGGACCATACGATGGAAAATGAATCAATGATATAAGATTGGTCTGACGAAGGAAATAAATCAGACCTCTGATGGAAAGTGTTTCCCTATAGAACGAGCCAATTTGCATTGGAAGAATAAATGTTTTATTGTCTCATCATGGTGACAAAAGACACATTACGGACTTTCATGCCAATTTCTCTTAATAAGGTTATCTTTATTAAGAATGACTCTGCGACAAAGATACCATGCAAAGATTTTATTCTTTAGAGGTATCTTCATCTTCCAGATCTTCTTGTTATTATCAACTGTCGCATCAGATTGGATTAACGCTCTATTGATAGACTCCACTGAGAATTATCCATTTCCATGTAGGTTCCATTAAAATACATCAGACCCATGTGACAAATACAACACTACAAGGGTAATATGGGTAAGTAGACTGATATTTGGTTGCCCAAGGACCTGGAGGTCTAGGACTCGTATTCTTGTGCGTATCGACTAAAAAAAGTATTTTTTGCGTCCCGTCGCATTAATGTGACCCTTATGTTGAGATGGGTTTGGCGGATCCTCTCAAAGGATGGCAGCCTGCGGCCGAAGCTTATAAAAGCAAAGTATGTGCAGGGTTGCCTTCTTCTTGTGTGTGATAGTAGGAAGGGATCCCTTGTAGTCTGATGTATTTGTCACATGAGTCTGATGTATTTGTCACATGGATCTCGAAATCGTGACCGGCTTGGCAGCATGATGGGCGTGATGATTGTGGCAGCTTGTCGCCTGGCCCCGCCACATAGCCACTGATTTGTCGGTCACTTGGTTGTAAGTTTTCCTCTTTCTTTGTTACTTTATTTGTGCATGTTTGTGTTGTTGCCCTAGCGGACTTACTTTTATTTTATGTAAACTTGAGCTTGTTGTATGGACAAGGTGGTTTCTTTAGCAATAAAGCGGGGGCGAAAACCTAATTCGAGATCAAGCCTATCCCACTTAAAATGTTAACCCCTAGCAATAAACCAGAAGATAACCTAGATCTTGGTACACATATACATACAGAGGAGGGGTGAATCTTAGGGTTTGGCAAGGGGAAAAGGAGCACACGCCGGTGCAGGTTACACATACTTAAACCCAATAAGAGCGAAACACATGGTGAACGCTGGCATGATGCACATGGCGGTAGGAACAGTGCTTGGTGGAGAAACACTCATGGAGCATTAGGCATTGTTTTTCATTGTGATTGGCCCACCACATTAGAAGAGAGTTGGAAAAGAGCGGCTCGTTTGCTTCTCATCTAAACCTGTGCAAAATGTCGACCCGAGCCAGGTTTTAGGCTAGGCTTGAAAAATCCCAACCTCCGAGCCCGATCGAAAGCATGAATACTCTCTTTTCTCAAGCCCGAGCTCAGCCCAAAATCAAGCCAGGAGCAGGAAGCCCGAACCGAATGTTGAATTTCAATGTTTACACGTTTAAGCCCTACCTGAAGCCCAAAAGCCTGGCCCAAAATACTAGAAATAATAAGCCTGAGCCTAGCTCTAACTACACTGCAGGCTGCAAAACATTTTTTTTCAAATGCACGTTTTGAACATTTATTCGAATACGTGTTGCACATTTTTCAAATAGAAGTTCAGGTCTTTTTTGGTATACGATTTATTAAACTACACACATATTTTTTCATTGTATAAACATTTCAAAAAATGTCATGAACATATTTTTAAAACATGTGAACATTTTTTAGTGGTACAAGATATATATTTTCGAATTACGCAATTTATTTCTACATTGTATAAATATTTTACAAAAAAATAACAAATATTTATTTTGAAATGCAGGAACATTTTAAAATGTTACAAACATGTTTTTCAGTACTATCAACATTTCCTAATAGTTGTGTGAACATTTTTTGAATGCAAAATAAACTTTAAAAAATACAATATTTTCCATTTTCTAGATTAATAAAAGTACTAAATGAAAAACGAATGGAATTAATGAACTAATGCTAATGGGTCGTCCCACTTCGCACGCTCCTAAGGCGAGCGGGGACGCTCGTTCTCGCAGTAAGCAAGAGAAAGACTCGCCCAAGCCATTCTGCGCCATCAAGTCGCTCTTGAGTTGGCGAGAATGAGAAGAAATTTTTATATTCTTCCAAGCAAACCCGCACTATTTTATTGGAATTCGTGAATATTTTTGAAACTTGGGGTTCCATTTGGAGTTCCTCTAACTGTCCAAACTACCATTTGCTACCTAGCTAATAGGCTTTCTACAGCGTTACGCGTGCACATTTTCAAGCTTGAGAAGTTGATTTGTACTAGTGAACTGCAGCTATAGCAAATGGCTCTCCTCAACTTCTAAGCCTGCCTTTTTCTTATTCCCTACGTAAAGAAATATAAGAGTGTTTAGATCAAATCATTTTTTTGCGGGGAGTTTAGATCAAATCATTAAAGTAGTGATCTAAACGCTCTCATATTTCTTTGCAGAGTGAGTACGTATTAATTTGTACCACTCTTGGCTTTTCAGAAAACAAGTGGGTTTTAGACTTTATCATTTGCAACAACACGGTCAGAGCACCAACGGAATTGTCACGACACACGACTGATGATGGACCGCTGAAGATCAAGCAACCGATATGTTGGTTTCCTACATTGTACCGAACTGAATGTTTCCTTTCTGCAGATTCATGATAAATTTGTTAACATAATGTAATACTCTCAATTCCAATGCAGGTTCGCTATGAGTCTCACATGATGACTGAGTTCGCTACTAAAATTCAGGTTAACTGAATGTTTCTTGTCTGCAGATTCCTGACAAATTTGTTAAAAGTACTGTACTACTGTCAATTTCAATGCAAGTTCATTGTCACGCTGTGAGTCTGAGATGACGATCAAGGTCAGCCCATATGATCCATATAGCTCAAAATTGGCAGACAATACTAATACTGAACTCAACAGACATATATGATGGGAAAACACAACTGACAAAAATTTGGTAATAACATTCAGACTGACAGTTACATCCAGAGGGCAACTAATCATCGTGGTTTATCTGCACATTGTCGACCAAATCTCCTGTAATGTTTATACCCCTTGTTGGTTCACCTCCCATGTCATGCTTTACGACTGCCTCTTGGTCTTATTGACCAGTAATATATAGCGAATGCGTGCGAAGTACGAAAACACAGCCTCAATCATATACGTAGGTGGACTTGACTTGTTCGTTCCCCCAACCACTCCCACCAGACCCATATCATCGCATACTACTCTGCTCGTTCTTCTCCTTATTTCGCACGTGCAGTAGAATTTCATCTCCTCCGACTCCGATAAGTCGTACCGCGAGCTCTGCTCGCCGCCGGCCGTACGGCCACCACCAGCGAGCAGCCAGGGGCATCTCCTCCGAGCACGCGTTGCAACTTTCAGAGGTTATTAACTCTCTCAGGAACTCTGCTTTGCTTTTCGTTGCCAACCTGAGCTTCAGTATGCTGTGAATTAGTAGGAACTCAACGTCTTCGATTGGGTAAACAGCTACAAAGTTGTACTAAAGTTGAGACAATTAGTATGGATCGAAGGGAGCACGATATAGTATCTGTAGGCATGATTAGTTTTTTAACATCCTTAGTTTTCGTTTCAATTAACATGCTGTTACATATTAGATTAGAAGTTCTTTTCCTTTCTACTATTATCTAGGCAAAAAAATCGAACCAACTCGGAAATCCTGATATACACTGCAGGAGCATAACCAGGAGCCAAGATAAACGGCTGAGATGGACAGGATATTGGTGAGTGCTTCCACAGGTGCGATGAACTCCGTCTTGGGTAAGCTGGCCAACCTCATGGGGGAGGAGTTCGCCAAGCTCAAAAACCTCCGGGAAGAGGTCAAGTTCGTCAGCGATGAACTTGCCAGCATGAAGGATGCACTTGAGGGGCTTTCTTATCTGGACGAGCTAGATCCACAAACCAAGAGATGGAGGGACATCGTCAGGGAGATGTCATACGACATCGAGGAAATCATTGATGACTTTATGCAAAACATTGGAGGCACCGATAAAAGTGATGGGTTTGTCAGCAGCACGATACGACGCCTCAAAACTTTGAGGTCTCGCCATCGGATTGCTCGACAAATCGAGGATGTAAAGAAACTTGTTCTCGAGACAAGTGCACGGCGTCAAAGGTATAAGATTGATACCTCCTCATCAAGCAATGTGTCCATTGACCCACGTGTTGCCTCGCTCTATGAAAACGCAGCTAACCTTGTTGGTGTTGAAGAGCCAACGAATGAGCTTATTAACTTGCTAAGAGACGGGGAGAAGAAGTTGAAAGTGGTATCTATTGTGGGATTTGGAGGTCTGGGCAAAACAACACTTGCTAGTGTGGTACATGGTAAGCTCAAGGGTGAAGTTAGCAGTTGTACTGCTTTTGTGCTCGTTTCTCAGAAGCCAGACATCCCAAAACTTCTCCGTGGTTTACTATCACAACTTGGGGTAGAGCCATCTATTCACGCATGCGAGTCACATCTTATCGACATGCTCAGGGAACATCTCAAAAATGAGAGGTGCATATTCTTACTTCATGTATTATTGTTTGTTCTTGTCTTTGTTTTTTCAAGATTTCTCAGATACACACATATATACTATATTTTTAAGATTATTGTATGTTTTAAAGTCTTGGTAGAAAATCATTAGATGAGCATAACAAACATACAACAAGTTTAGTAGTTAATAGATGCATCTACTGATTCATTTAGTAAACTTATACGAGTAAACCGTATTAGTCTATTGCATGCTAATTTTATTACTGGTGACAATATTGGTCTTAAACAAAATGTGTTAATTTATTTCAGATCATATATTATGTTTTCTCCCATAATTTTAGTTTATTAACAATCACAAACAAATTAATGAGTCTTTTTTATTCAATCACAATTATGTTTGATTAAACAAAGTTCTGTTTTTTGGTTCGATGTCTTAATTACTTGACACTGTAAATTTCAGTTGGCTGACATAGTGATGAATGTTTGCAGGTACTTGATTATAATCGATGATATATGGGATGTATCAGCCTGGGATATTATCAAATGTGCTTTTCCAGAAAATTATCTTGGGAGCAGAGTAATAACTACTACTAGAATTCAGGTTGTGGCTAAGGCATGTTGTTTCCATGGTCATGATCACATTTTAGAAATGAAGCCCCTCAACGACAAAGACTCAAGAAGACTATTTTTTGGCAGGATATTTGGCTCCGAGGAAGCTTGCCCTCGCCATCTTAGAGATGTTTCAGTTGAAATTCTTAAAAAATGTGGTGGTTTGCCTCTTGCAATTGTTACTATATCCAGCATGCTAGCCAGTGAAGATTCCATCCAAAAAGAAAGGTGGGAACATGTAAGGAGTTGTTTAGGCTCATTAAAAAATCTCACGTTGGAAGGAGTTAGGCAAATCTTAAACCTTAGCTACAGAGATCTTCCCCTTCATCTTAAGACGTGCTTGCTGTATCTTGGTATGTATCCAGAGGACTACATAATATCAAGGTATGATCTAGAACGTCAATGGATGGCGGAAGGATTTGTCGGCAAAGATTATGGACAAGATTGTGTGAAGGTCGCAAGTAATTATTTCAATGAGCTTGTCAATAGGAGTCTTATTCAACCTGTAAAATTTGACGGCAGAGGATCAGTGACCAAATGCAAGACACATGATATGATGCTCGATCTTATCTTGCTCAAGTCCACAGAAGAGAATTTTTTCACTATAGTGGATGACCCACGAACCATTACAGGACTGGATTACAAGATCCGTCGGCTGTCTGTTCACTTAGATAGTCTCAGTAACAATCAAGCAATATTACCGAGGAACATTAGTATGTCACATGTCCGATCAGTTATGTTCTTTGGGAGCTCTGAGAGTACACCTGATCTAGTAGAGTTCAAGCTCCTCCGAGTTCTGTTCATTAACCTCCACCGTGCTACAGTTGATCTCAGTGGACTGTCTAAATTGTATCAGCTGAGGTATTTACGGATTAGTCGCTTTTGCTTGTACCAACTACCAACACAGATTAGAGCGCTACAACACTTGCAAACACTTGATATGGGAAGGTATTCCAATATTCCCTCAGATATTCTGTCGAAAAAAATTCCCTCAGATATAGTTCACCTACCATACTTGATGCATCTAAATGTTGGATCGGAGCTTTTTGATGGGATAGGCAAGATGAAGTCCCTACGACATCTATGTGCATTTGATTTGGCGGTGAACACCATGGACAATATCAAAAACATTGGTGAGCTCACCAATCTGAGATATCTATTTATCTCATGTGGCCCTCACCTGGACGATACGGAGAGACGGATGGATGTATTACGCTCTTCTCTGGGAAAACTTCGCAACCTTGAGGACCTGATTGTCAGTATGAGGGGCTGCATAGATGGCTTGATGCCATTGTCTCCTCCCCCAACTCCTTACCAACTTGAGAGATTCGTCATGTTCCGGAACTGCTGGTTTTCCAGGATCCCTAGCTGGATAGGGGAACTCCGTAACCTCGGTGAACTACGGTTGCAAGTTTGTGAGCTGCTAAATGATGGTGTTGGTATCCTTTCAGAGCTGCCTGTCCTCGTTCACCTTGATATGGATATCCGAAGAGCCGTAGATAAAATGATTGTCATATGTGCGGGGAGGGGAACATTCCCTGCTCTAAAGCGTTTGTCTCTCCAAATAAGCAGCATGACATACCTGGACTTCCAGGCTGGTGTAATGCCCAAACTCCAGAGACTCGAGGTAATGCATAATATGAATGGATCAGATCAGAATGGGGCTTCACCAGCCGGCATCGAGCACTTGTTAGCGCTTGAAGAGTTATCTGCAGCAATCGGCTGTGAAGGTGCTACGGAACCCACGAAGAGAAGCACAGAGTCTGCCTTGAGGAGTGCTATCAACATGCATCCAAGCCATCCTCGTGTTACAATCAGATTCTTCCGTCGCAATTTGAAATTTTTTCCAGAGTAATTTCTCCTTTGGCTCAGCAGCAGCAACATCTCGTATGTACAAATCCGCACCTTCATTCTCCCCGTCTCAATCTCTCTCTCTCTCTCTCTCTCTCTCTCTCTCTCTCTCTCTCTCTCTCTCTCTCTCTCTCATTTTTTGTTTGTTTCATAGAAATTACCATGAAATGTACATCCACCTCACCAGTCACCATGGTATCATTATTGCTTTGCTAGCTATGATTTTCTTTTATTTTGGTATGGCAAGGTTTACGTAAGATATACTTAGCTAAAAATATGGCTAACAAGTAGAGATAGTTTGGAGGTAATCATGGTCACATGGAAGAGTGTGTTATCAATTTTGCAAAGAGATAGTGTTTAACATGATTTCATTTCTATTATATGTGAAATATGTTTGCTAATACGACATTTAGACTTTGTATGCTGTGTCTTATGTTCCTCTCTTCAATCTTCTGCTGGGGGTTTCTTTATTTTCTTGAGGAAACTGCCGTACTGCTAGATTAAATGGGCAATAAATTGTAGAAGATGGTTTTTCTGAACTCCTACAGCTGCCTGAGTTTTTACAAAATTACTGACCACTCGACTATATTGGTTTTCAGGAAAGGAGCGGATTTCAGTTTCTGTCACTTGGAACAACAGGCCAGGGTCACAACAACAAGGAAGATGTCTCTGCTGAAGATAAAGCTATTGGTTTTTGCTCGTGATACTATTTCATCTGTTGTTCCATTCAGTTGCTTGTAACAGGATTGTTGGAGGGCAGGAATTTGCCCTGATGTATCCCGTGCCTGAATTATTCATTTCAGTGACAGATGGTTGTTGTTCTGGTGTGCTGAATGACTGGTTCCTACTTTGTACTGTACTGAATAATTTGCCCTGATGCTCCTACTTTGATAAAAACTTGTTAAAATTTGTTATCCTCTGGATTTCAATACAAGTAGATGCGTTTGATATGATAACCAACTTGCAAGCTGCTTGTTTTACAAGACAACTAACTGAGTTCGCAGAATCGAACCGGGATATGAAACAAGGCTGGTTAAATTTACAGAGCAACAGGGAAACTAACAGAACCGCATCGCTTATAATGAATTACCACTTGTTGGATCACCTCCCATGTCATGCTTCACGACGGCCTCTTGGTCTTGGTTTTAGTGCATCCTCTCAACCGCTTGTTCTGGCACAAGTTTCAGGGCTTATTCTGAGCCCCTCCAAGCTTCTAAAACTCCTCAAATTCAGCTTCCAAACGCAGCTTCTAACTCCAAGTGGCGATTTCAGCAACGTTCGGCACCGAAGTAGCTTCTCCCAGCTTGGCAGCCCAGCTGGGGAGGCTGCTAGCCGGCTGGGCGCTAGTATGGACCGGCTGGAAGCAGCTAGCCCAGTTCGTCCTAGGGTTTATGGCGTCGGAGAGAGGGCTCAGAGGTTGAGGCGGGATCCGTCGAGGTGAGCATCGGCCGGCGGCGGGGTGGAGCTGACCGTCGGGGTGACGCCCTGGACATGAACCGGAGGGGATGGCCCTAGAAGTGCCGGATCTCGCGGTGGAGGACAGCGCCGGCCGGTGGTGGGGGCGGCGTGAGGGTTCGGCCGAGGAAGTGTATCCCGTGCACCCACACTTGCTGCGGGTGCACCGAATGCTATAGAATATTTTGAAAAATCTAAAAAAAATTCTAACACGTTAACACAACATCAATGTATGATGTTATAAAATTTCATATACAAATTTGAAATATTTTCTGAGATACAAAAATGACAAATTTGATATCAGTGTGATAATGGGTCAAATCTAAAGTCCAAGTTATATTGTGTACTACTATTCAGTGTTGAATTTGTCATTTTTGTTTTTCGAGTTATGTTTCAAATTTTGACTTGAAATTTTGTGACAACCTACATTGATGTTATGTGAGTGTGCTAAAAAAATCAGATTTTTTTGAACGTTTTAAAAGCATAATATAAGTTCGGTGCACCAGTAGCACCACAAGCTCCGGTGCACCAGATATTTCCCCCTCCTGCTGAACCGGTCTCTTTCGCGGTGGCATTCTTCTGTAAAACTAGTAATGGGAGAGGTAGATTTGTTCGGGCGTGGCCTCCTCCTGCTGAACCGTTCTCTTTCATGATGACATTCTTCTGTAAAACTAGTAATGCCCATGTGTTGCAACATATGCAAAGTAGAATAATACATATTCATAAATTTGAAAGAAAACAGTCTAATTTTGATATACATATATACTAAAAATATCTTATGTTTCACTTAAAATATATTCCTTGGCCTGTTTTGATGAGGTAAGGGAGGAATGTGGTTGGTTTCAAGATACTAAGTGCCTGTTCGGCAACCAACTGGCTCCAAAAAATATGAGAATCTGCAGAGCGAGTGTTTCCCTACTCCTTTATTTTCAACTAAGGCTATGTCCGCTCCGGGAGTGGAGTCAGGGCGTGGAGAGACTCCGAACAGGCCCTAAGTGTTTTTTTTATAAATTGGAGCACAGAAGTGGGATATTGTTGCAACAAGGTCACAACTTACATCATAGTCGATAGATGCAGATCTAATAATTAGAAATGACGTATGACAGACACACAATTATCATCAACTGAGTCTTTTATAGGAGTAGAGATATGGGCAACTCCTCGTTCTCATTTTTCTGGAGCTGAGCCTTTGCGTTTTTAAGCCCCGGTTGGCCCTACCAATCAGTTGGCACACCATCCGGCCGCCCTTAGCTCGCGTGTGAATTGGCCAAAAATTTAACTGCAGCAGCTTTATCTTTTTTGTAGATAGTGTGAGTTCGAGCTACTGTAGTCTCCCCCATTGACCTTTGTTTAGATAGAATCCTCAATTAGTGGAAATGACTACCAGCCTTGCTCTACAGTACTATATCATACAGAGCCGCGTCCTTGTGATATGATAAGAAGAAAAGGGTCAGATGCTTCGCGAACCACCGGTACATTTCGTTGCACTTAAATCACCCTCGTTAAGAGGCGCACTCCGATACCATTAATGTCCAATAGCTCACATGCAACGTCGGCGTGCCAAATAGTTGGCCATCAACCAAATAGGTGCCCAACAGTCAACGCCAATATTCTGACTAGGCGTCTCCAGGCTTCAACCCAAACAGCCCCTTACATTGGAGGTTGGATGAGCTTCTCAAATTGCTCCGCATTTTTACACTGGAGGTCGGCTGAGCTACTCGAATTTAGTTTCTCGGAGCTCAGACGAGGATTTTGTAGAGCTAGAAGCTGGAGAGGTTCAGTCTATTACTTCTTCATCATGTCGCTCAAACTGGAATTCAACTCCTGAAGTGAACTTAAATCGGTGATCTGATTTTATTAAAAAGTCAGTTTTTGTTTTTTCTGTTTGGGTTTTCAGTTTTTTTGTTTTCGTTTTTCCTTTCTCTTCCGTTTTTCCTTTTTTCTTCTCTTAGGTCTTTTTTTCCATTTTGTTATTTTTTTCAAAAACTTTTTTAATACATGTTGTAAACTTTTTTATACACACGCATAACATTTACTTGATACACATTCAATATTTTGCAAATAAACGATCAACATTTTTTCAAATGCCCTCGTGAATTTTTTTCAAATGCATGTTTGAAACATTTTATTTTAATAACTACTACACATTTTCAAATGTACTTCGAACATTTTTTAAATGGATGAAACATTTTTTAAAACAAAAAAACATTTTTTATACTGTATAAACATTTTTCTAAATGTCACATATATTTTTTGAAACACATCAACATTTATATAAAATATCACGAACAGTTTTTTAATGGTATTGAACATTTTTAAAATGAATAAATGTTTTTTAAAATGTCATGAACATTTTGTGAATATTACAAAAAATATTAAACCACACAACATATTAAACCACACAACACAATGTTATGGGGTCGTGGCTACAGCCCCGTCGTCTGGCGGGTGATCACTGTAGCCACTCCCTGTCTCGTCTGGTTAATGGCGTGGGGAACCCATGGGAGGGGCAGGCCGACTCCCGGGGGCCGGCTTCCTACGGGTCTGACTGGTGGCGCCCTTGCCGTCTTCCGGACTCTCGCTGACTGGTAGGGCCCGTCATCCGTGGACCGTACTTTCAGGCCATCGTGGACACAGGACTCCGCCCACTGTTGCTGATGTCAGGGATGGCATGGCAACAATGCCGTGCCAGACGGAGATCTCCGTTGGTACAACGCATTGTGGCCTAGGCATCTCCTGGAAAAGGGGAGGGAGTGGGCTTTACTGTTGCCACTCCCTGTCCCATCCCCCCTGATGAGGGCATGGCCTTTGTTGGTGCCGTGGGCCGACTCCCCGCGGCCGGCTTCTCCGGAAGCCGCCAGGCGGAGCCGGCCGGTCTTGACTTCGCCCCTAGGACTCGGATGCATGCGGGCAGCCGAGTGTTCCTTCAGCCGTCCTCCAGAAGGCGGCTCTTCATCTGTCGTCTTGAGGGGCGCAGTCAGCCCCGATGTCTTGAAAGGTTTTGGGCCTCGGGTTAGCCTACCCGTGGCCCATTACTCCGACAGTAGTCCCGGAAGCTGATGAGGCGCCGCGGACAGCCAGCCGAGGAGCCTCAGCAGTTTCTTTCTCCGAGTATTTGAGGTGGAAACCTCGTTCGATTTCTGCCGGGCCGACTGGTAGGAGTCGGATTCGCCCGATTTGACTTGTCCAAAACTTTTGAATCCCCTGGCGGGATCTTTGTGGCGTACCAGCTAAGCTTCCGGGCCGCCACCCGTTTCGGACCCGCCATCTGTCAACCAGCGACCGGGCCAGCCTGCCCACCCATACACGGGACGGGACATGCCTGCAGGCGGGGCCCGCCACTACCGCGCCTCGGCACGCGAGCGGATCCGCTGCAGCCAGGGGGGACGGTTGAGGTTCCCACGGAGTTACTGCGCGCAGTAATTTTGCGTGATAAATGTGGGGGCATGGGGTAGTGGGCGTAGTAGATCCCACAACCGCCCCCTCGGCTTCGCATCCCATGAGGCTATAAGTAGGGGGAGGAGGGGGAGCGGCAGAGCACGCGCGTCC